TTTAAATACAAATTAAAATTTTTAAGTTATGGTTATGTGATACATTAAAAATTTTTTTTTTTTTTTCCATGTGTGTGAAATATTTCTGTATCTGTTTAGTGCTGTTCTTCTTCTTGTGCGCCCAGCAATCTATTTCTGCATTTAAAAAACATAAGAGCATTGCACATCAGTTACCTACCAAACACATCTCATCATTGTTCCCTTTTGTGGCAAAATACTGTATTTCTATAGAAATTTGAACGCAGTTTCTTCCACTCCTATCAGAACTTTATAAGCAATGTTTGAAAACTGAAGTAAAAAATATAATGTTTTGTCTATGAAAGCTGTTGCAGCTACACAATGAAAGCAACGCATACAAAAATGGTGACTTTGCTTGACCGTTATGAGCCTGGTTACCTGAAGAATTTTTATATATGGTGAATCTGAACAGGCGGGCAAAACACATTTTGTATAGTTATGTGAAGAATTTTGTGTAAGTATTAGAAGACAACAAATCTGTTTTTAGAATGCTGCTAGTCCTGGTTTACACAAGTTAAAACCTAGGAAAATATCTACATTAATGCTGTGACTGGCAAGGCTTAGAATATAGGACCTAGAATATTTTTTATTATATCTTTATGAAAGTACCTATATAAGCATGCATCTTGAAATACATCTAAGAAATTAAGGCACTGTATTAAAAGTACATAAATCCATGCATAAAGTATCAGGTGCATTTTGGCATTAAAATCAAGAAAACACCTCATTCTCATCACAGTTTAGGAAAATTTGGGTCTTATTGAAGTCTTAGTGAAACGATCATTTCTCAATGATCAATAAAGAAATGTTTGTTATACATTATCTGATGTCATGCATAGGCTCTGAATGACTGACAGATCAGTTTTGATGATTGAAAGCCAATTTTCAGTACTTCTTTATTATAGCAGGCCTCGAAATTGAATCAGCAATTAACCAAGATATTTCACCAAAATCTGGCTGAGTGTTCTTATACTTCTCTGCTTGGTTGAATATTAACACTAGCTCCATGTTCGTATACCTCACTCCATAATCGTCTAATAGCCTCATGTAGTACTTTTGCTGTCACTGTGTGTTCTTTTATTTATTTTTGATGAGATTTTCCAATTCACATTGTTTATTTAAAAATATATTCATTGATTTTTTGTGACTATCACATTAACAATATTTAATTTACCAAGTAATGATGATGCTATATCATTTTCTCAAGAAAGTTGTTGTTTACCTGATAAATGAGTATGCGAAAATGGCTACAACATGAAACATTATGTTAACAATGAAAAAGCCCTCCACATCAGAAATTGGTTTAGCAGTTCCAGAATATCATTTGTCTCTGCTATTATGTATTCTTGAGCAGAAGAGTTGATGTACATGAAATGGTGTAACAAACAGCTTAATATGTGTGAAAGTGCTGCAGTTGACTGGAACAATTACATACGATAAAATAATAATAATAAAGATATAAGAATAAGCATTCTTAAAAATATTCTCAGGAAATGACATGTGAGTATTATTATTATATATTGTGTTGGTTATTTTTGCATTCATGCTTCACTGGCTTAGCAAAATTATAACTGAGATCTTGGGGCAAATCTAAAATTGCCAAATATTGTTGGAGGCCACTATAACAAAGACATACCCGAATTTCTAGCATGTAATGCTTCTTTGACAATTTAGGAGTATACAGTGGAACACATGATGTCATATTATTTTATCTTGAATAAGATTTATATGCTGCAATTTATATAAGGATTTCATGCAATGTATCCTTATATTTAATGCAATGTCAGATAAAGGTATGGAAAGTTTATAATTCAATTCATTCAGATGCCTTAAACATTGATTGGCATAGAGATATCCTAAAAAAGAATTAGCTTTTTCATCACCTGATGCAATCTCTCCTATTTCTAGGTTCTGTTATCCAGTGTCTCCTTAAATTCTATAAATTCTGCTGCTTGCTGCAATTCCACCAGCACTGCTGCTGGCCCTGCATGGGAATAAACTGTTAGATTTAAAAAGTATGTAAAAAGAATTGACATAGATATTCTGCCTTTCAAAAATCAAAGTGAAAATCGCCACCAGTACTTATTGGCAAAAAAATTGGAATTTCCAAAATTATGAAATTAAAAGATATGTTAATTACAAAGTATGATAGCAGGAAATAGATGCTGATTTATGTATGGAATTAGTTGAGTTTTAACCTGAAAGAATTAATATAGTTAATGAAGGAAAATGTTGTATAATGCTTTCCTCTATAATTTTCTGTTCTGATTCTGTAATTTTCTTATCTATAAAAACATTGCTTTACTTCGGGTACAAAAATTGCTGTTACTCACAAAAGTAACTTATCAGTCATAAGTCTGCTTAGTTTTTAAAAGTTTTGTATTGAGTGCTCCAGAAGTCTAAGCTTTTAAAAATTTCTAAATAACAAGTAAAAAAGCAGTTTCTACCAAAATTCATTTTATGAAGTCAATTTTTGTTTCCCCCCCCCCAAGAAAAAATAATTAAAAATTTTACTCATAGCTGATGTTGTACTATCATACTATTTTCAGATGAACAAACAAAACAGTTTGCTTAAATATTATACAATTCCTTCACCCTGTAATGCTTCACTTTACCAAATATTCAATGTAGCTCCACATTATGGAATTACATTTTGTGAGATTGCATCATCTACCAATGCACTAAAAATAACTGTGTCCATAAAAGTTACTTTGTGGCAAATTCTGGCAGTCAAGGGATCTAGGTACAAGCCATAAGCAACTAATCAGTGGCTTCAGACTATATATCATTACCACATCATGGTTCATAGCAAGTGTAATGACACTTTTGTGGATAAATTTATCTGGGAAGAGATTGGCCTTGCGTATATTTGACAATTATAGTATTAACACTTCTGTACAACAAAAAGTATGCAGTACTTTTCTGTTAAGGAAGCATCAGTCACCAAACATACATCAAAGCATCACATCTGACAGCCTGTCTAATTCATCATGAATAGCTGTGCAATGTTTAATATGTGCAATGCCAGGTCTATGCATGATGTCAAATTTGTGTAATTCTCTGGTTTTTTGTAAGCAAAAACAAATTGCTGTACTCATGGGGAAAACAACCGTACTTTCCATATACACAGTTATCTGTTTTTACTGAATAAAATATTATTTAGGATTGCACAGACTGGCGTTTTGCACATTAAACATTATTTAAATTATATAATACATTATTTTTATTGCAGTTTCAATTTTTATGGAGTCTTATGTCTTTTTAGGGTTGCCACTCTCTAGTTAGATTTTGCACTACCAACAAAGTACAAAATATGCTTTATCTGTTCTCAATCTAATTTACTTGTTTAACTGTTCACAATCCATTTGTGCCACCTTATTTGCATAGTTATATGGGAGACTGGCTGTCATCTATGTTTGATTCCAAAAGAAGGCATGGGAGCACATGAACTACTGTTAGGCTGAAAGACATCTCAAAAGGTTGATAATAGGGAAAAAGGAGTAGGAGACCCTTGGCTTCATCCATTGGAGTGGTGTTCATTAAAAGTGGGACAGTGCTTCCCTTTCTTATTGATATAAAATTAGTGGCCCCTTGGGCAATTTTCACAGTGAAGAGGTGGTTAAATGGCTATATTATCTGGTCATAAAAAAGAAAAGGAAAAAAAAAATGAATTTATTAATGGATCATCAGCAACTTTTTGCAATGTCTATGTGGTGAATTTTTCCTACCTCTGAATATCATTTGGTTACAGTTGAAACAACAATTGCAGCTTGTAGAGATACAGTTGGGACTCACCTTGAAAGACCTATATCACTGACTAATGGTGGACTCATGGTTCTTACAGCTATTCTGCGATTTTGCTGCTGGAGTTTCCATGTGGATTACCTCATGGTTTTTATAGTATTCAGCCAATGATAGTCTGCCACTATCACCTTAATCTGCCAAACTCCCTGTTTCCTCAAATTGTTGCAGAAGATGATTTAATACTGTGACAGTCATTGGCCTCAGCCAGGGTCATAGCCAGAGCTGGTATGGCCACACCAGATGACAGGGTTTAAGGTGGCAAAATTTTTAGGATTTAGAGAGATATCAAGCAGCAAAACTTAGAGATGACTAAATTTTTAAAATTTAGGTATAGGCACTAAACAGGAATTTGTGGGTGGAATATATATATAATTTTTAATAAAGAGAGGCACTAAGTAGCAACGTTTAAGACCTGTTGATATTGCAACAAGTGACAATATGCCTAGTTCTGGCCCTTGCCTTGGCTTCTTGTGCAAAACTGTTATAAAGCTAAAACAGCTGATTTCCCACTCAGAATAATTATATCCGTACTTGTCAGCCAAACTCGTATTAACTCACCATTAAAGACTGAATATAAACCAGTTGCAAAAAACTGAAGTATTGCAGGTTGACAGCACCTTTCAAAATAGTCTCTTTCACATTCCTGTGCTTCCTAAGTTGTAGAGCCACCTGTCAGTGACATGTTGACTTTTTTTTTTTCCTTTTTTTTTTTGGGCAATTGAAAAAAGGTAAAGTTGTGAACTTAAATTTTGGTCCAAACTTCATTCTTCTATGGCAGTAGTAATTTTTTATGAATGCTTAAAAAGTCACGTAACTTTTGGTGTACCACTTAAAATAACTAGTAAAGGAATGACAAACAAATTTTTGATTTTGCAATACTTTTGGCCATAATTGATTCCTTTAATTAATACTTATTTTAAATTTAATATTTAGTTATTTATAATTGCAATTTTTTTATTTATAAGTCATTTATTTATTTTTCAATAAACATAAATGCAGTTTTGTAAAAGGTAAGAGGAAGATGAAAAAGAATGTTTCACAGTGTATTCATCTTGTCAAAGCATTATTCTAGAAATATGTACACTTATTGTACACTGTCCCTGCAAACATTTATACTAATGGTACAGCTTTGTATTAAATGGTAAGTAATCGTCCTTTTGTTTCTCTCTTTTTTTTAGGGTAAAGACCCATCTTTAGATAATAAGAACTTTTGGGATGAATTCTTCCTTTTGAGGGTAAGTTTTGTTTAGTTAATTTTTTAATATAGACATATTTTTAAAACTTTCAGTTGAATATTTATGTACGTAGGCCAATCAAATATAAAGGAGCTTTTAGTGGCTGAGAGTAGGGAAGAGTATTTGTGTGTGATTGGGCATTTGTAGTTGTTAGGTGGGGATACTTAGAGTAGGGAAACCACATCAGCCGACTTGTCCAGTGCTTAAGTTAGTAGCCCTTACGTTGAGTGAGAGGAGTGTGCTCATCTTTGTTGAGCAATGCATAATTATAAAGTTCCTCGTCTGTTAAAACGTGAAACCAGCCGAAATTTACCACAGACTACTTGCCCAGTTTTGGGGAAGCTACCCTTTCATGGTCAAGAGTGAATATTGTCACCTGTAATGAGATATGGGTTCATCATTACACCCCCTCCCCCATCAAAACGGGCAAGGATGGAGTGGAGAAGGAAACCAGTAAAAGCCGAAACTCGATTGTCGCGAGAAAGTGTTAGCCATGGCTTATTGAGACTAAAGGGAGATTCTACTGGTGGATTTCTTGCACTGATGCAATCTGCTATTGTGTTGTCTTGGATCAAGTTAGACTTCAGTATCGATGCAAAAGATGAGATTGTCCAATCCGCGAGGTGTTGATCCTCTATGACAACGTTAGGCTCCCCACAGCAGGTGTAGCATAGTAGAAACTGGTTGAAATGCACTAAAAAACACTTGACCATCACCTTACAGCCCAGTTTTATCACCATGTGATTTTCACATGTTTGGATCCCTCAAAGAAGCACTTGGAGGAAAGCAATTGGAGGCCAAAAATCAAGTAGAAACATGTGTGCGCAACTGGTTAGATACCTGTCCAACTTCATGCTACCAGAACGGAATGGAAAAATTACCAAATCATCGTGAAAAATGTATCATAAAAGGAGAAGATTATTTTAAAAAAATAATTTTTAGAAATGTAGATGTTTCCTATAAAATAAATTTTGTTTAAACAAAAGGCTCGTTTATATTTGATCCACCCTCGTATATTATTCAAACAATTTCCTTCTGTGAACTTAAAAAAAAGGATAATCATTATACCAAATTATAATAATTGTGGTGTCACAAAATGCTTTAATTTTATTAGTGATTTCTTCAAAATGCAGAGTAACTTTTTGTTTCTGATAATAATATATTAATATGTCTAATATATAACAGTGTTTTAATTTACACATTTGATAAAATTGATAGAAAACTTCTGTAATTGTCTTTATGAAATCATGATAATGTGTTAAAATGCAAGTGAACTTTATATAGAGACTAAATTCGTGAATGTTAATAAGTGAAAATTTTTATTTTAACTCTCTTTACATTAGTCATTACTTTTATGTTAATGGGTGCCAAACATGCACATTGGCACCAAATCTAACTAAATGGCAGCAACCCTAATGATATGTAATGTTTCATGAAAAGAAAAATTAGTTTTAATGTAATTAATATACATAATGTTTCATGTGCGCAAAGCAAAGGCTGTAAACAGTGCCAAAATTCAGCAATTCTCTGATGTTTTCTAAGTGTCTTGAGGTTGCAGCATTTCCATCAAGTGGATCTTATATGGATACCATTTTAAAATGGACTGCAGAATTTTTCGTACTGTCAACCAAGGAATCGCCAACTCACGTAACACTGATTGAGCACTTGCTGAAGAATAGTGGGAACTGGAGGCTCTTTCCCAACCACAGTAGTTGTGACTTCTTTAACAGTTTCATCTCTTCCTGGCATCACACCCAAGGCTCCAGTCTCTTCAAATTTCATAATCATCTTCAAACCATGCTTCGACATGGGCCCTTTCTGCAATCCCTTTAAATGACGATATTCATGCAACAGTTCATGCAGCAATGCTCTGATAAAACAGTTTTGCCAGTAAAGCTTGATCTTTCTAAGGGCATGATTAACAATGAAAAAGGCACTCAGAAAGACTTTCTGGTTCTAACTGCAAGTTTCTTTATAGGTTTGACTAATTTGTATAAGAAATTTTTTAAATTTTCATCTGGTGGTCAAAATTTGAACCATTCTTTTATCGCAAAAATCTTTTCCTTGTAGTCAATATAACATATATACTAAGTTTCATAAAAATCCGATATGCAGAACGGGTTTTACTGGGGTCTGAATAGGGTCACTTTAATTTTAACCACCCTGTATGCTCTTGCCTAATGACAACACTTCAGAGGGGTTGGGTATGGACTTGTAATCTTGGGAATATTTTCCTGTAGAGTGGTGGATCTTTTGGTGTGTCTAAAAGCAGTTCTGAACAATTCAGCTTACCTCAGTAACATTTAGAGTTCGTGTTGCTTCCATGGCCAGCTCAGTCCTATTCAGCATTCATGCGATGAAGAAAAGATCACTTCACAGCTTTTAAATGCATTATCCAATCCCAATAAAATGAGAGCTGCTCTTATGTTAGCTGAGAAAAGATAGCATCTTTTTAAGTATGCAACCAGAAGAGTTTCTGTTGTGATCAAAGCTGAAGGTGAGGAGGTGTCTCTAATATTTTGGCCATTGACTATACACCTCAAGAACATTCAAAATAGTGCACTGTGAAGGGAGCATCAGATTGAAATGAAATTTAACACACATAATGATGTAACTTGATCCCAAAATCAAGACAAACAAATACAGTGTGTAGACAAACACAGTGCAACTTGAGTAGCATGTCGGACCACCTCCTACTGCAATACATGCTGCAACATTGTCCAGCATTGAGTTGATAAGACATCTGATGTTGTTCTGAGGCTGACGGGCCCATAAATCTTGAACAGCCACCTCCATATCATGTACAGAGTGACACGGCAACATCTGCTATTTCAGCTGGTCTCGCACATACTCTATAAAGGGCAACTCCCGGGAGCAGGCCTGCCGTGAAAAGTCTGAACATGATGTAGGAAGTCTTTAGCAGCTCAAACTATATGTGGATGAGTATTATCTTGCTGGAGAACTGGCCTTGGAACTTACTCATTTAGGAAAGGTCTCACATGGGATCAAAGAATGTCATCATTATAATGCTGGCTAATTAAGATTCGATGTACCACAGTCAGGGTGGACTGTGGTATCATAGGCTATGACCATTACACCTGCTGTGCAGGCAGTATGTTGTGCAACAGTTTGGTTGGAATTGTACCATTCACAAGGAGCCATAACCCATGCACAATTATCATCTGTCCCCCAAATGAACCAGGATTATCAGTAAACAGAACATTTTGCCAATCTATAGCATTTAACATTGCTCTGGCTTGGAACCACTATATACAGTCAAAAGTCTTTAATCCGGACTCGTCGAGACTTCGGCGATTCCAGATTATAGATCATCAGTTTAAATCTGGTAAGATGGCATGCATAAATTATAAAATTAAAACTATGAAAGCATAATTTATGAAATGAAGAACAATTATGATCTAAAGGGTATCAAAATTTACAAAAAAAAACTTAATATTTATTTATTTAGTATTTTATTAAACATTTCTATCAACGCGCGCATGCGTAAAGCATACATTACGCATAGTCGAAATTAGAAAATTACAACCAGAAAACTATTTGATGTGTATTCGGGATATTTATAATGACGAGGAATTTGATTTAAATCATATCAAAGGTGGAGTACATTGAGATGAACTACTACATTTAGTAAGGAATTATAAGCGGAATAAAATAAAAACATCTGCCCTGAAGATAAGGATAGTGCTAACTTCCAGTTCATTGTGAGCCGCGACGTCCCCCCCCCTTCCCCGCCGCAGAGCAGTGTGAAATTGATAAACAGATTTCAGAATGGTTAAAGAAACAAAGGATATGCCTTTATCCATTTTTTGCAGCAATTCCACTTTTGGTTTGATGGACATTGAAACATGCTTTCGCTTTGTGGCAGCTCCAGAATTGGAATTTTTTTTGACATAATCGAAAGTTCAAGCTTACTTTTATAAAATTGCTCTAACAATCTGCAAAAAAATAATAAGCTGGATCCAATTAGAAGATTAAAGAACAATGCAATCTGCAACATTAACTGAAATAGATAATTAGATAATTTTAGCTTAGCTTATACTGTCTGTTATACATTAAACGTGCACGCATAAACGTATTATGCGAATTCGTAAACGCATATGTGTATGCGTAAAGGTATGATGCACATGCGTAAAACACATATGCGCATGCAATTCGTTTATGCATGTGCAGAAAGTTTGTAGCTTTGAGGTCCGGATTATAGATCATTCCGGATTATGGACGTCCGGATTAAAGACTTTTGACTGTATTGAGTCACCGATATTTTGTTGTTTGGGTACTTGGATTTCAGATTCACTTCTGCAAGGCTCTGGAAATGGTTTGTGGAACAGTTGGCACACCTACATCTAATTGTGTCATGGAACGAGTAACCGTGGGATTCACAAGAGCTTACACAGTCCTTCAATTCTCTTGCTTCGTCATCTTTCTGGTCACTCTATACCCATTCTTCCACACGTGGATACCATTTCGTGTCCACTACTCCCAACATTTTCTGATGGCACACTCCAAACTATCAACTTGACAAGCAACATGATGTGTTAACCAGCCTGCAGTTTTCATGACAATGATTAGGCTTCTCTCAAACTGTGAGAAATGTTTTTTTGCATGTCTGTCTGGCATTTTTCGCTTACATAAGTCCTCCTAGAATCAGAATGTAATCGTCCCGTGTATTAATTTTCATCTATGTGCCAGTTTATAAGGGCCCACTTCATGGTTGCAGTGTCACTGCAGGGTGTTTTGTCATGGGCTTTGGTACCAAACTTGAATCATTTGCATAGTGGATCTCACTGTACTTAATGTACAAAGTTTCATGATTGTACCTTTTTTTCTTCTCCGTGCACTATTTTCAGTGATCTTGAGTGTATATATATAGCAAATAAAGAACAGTTGTTGCTATAACTTATATCCCCTATAATTTAGTAATTAAATTTTAATTGTATTTCAGATTTCTGTATTAAATGGATTTTAATACATCTTGATTATTTGTATTAAGTATGATAAAAAGACTTGAACATATCAACAGGGTTCGTAGCAGTCCTTATAAGTGCTTATAAGTCCTTATATTTGAAAATAAAATATAAAGGCCCTTATAGGTGCTTACGTTTTCTTTAAAGCCCTGTTTTTTTTTTTTTTTTTGTTTGTTTTGTTTTTAGTGCTTATTTTTTGCTTGTAGTGCTTTTTTTTTAAAAATAAATGCGCTATTTTTCCCCGTACCAAAGCCGAAATAAATAAACACTTTTCTCCTAAATGGGAATGTCAGATGGTGAGTCATACTCCCGAAATAGCTTTTCCCCCTTCTCTGCATTAACAAACCTTTGGTGTGGCACGAAGAGTACAACAGGTGCTCGTCGTTCTATGGTCAAGGAATTGTGAAAGCAGAGAAAATTCCGCCTACATCGGCTTCTTTTCCTCCCACCCAAATATACACACGTTTGAATTTCTATCAAGCTTAATAATTTGATTCTCGTTCCGCTGGTCAGTTCCTATTGGGTTTATTATGATCGTTATGCTTATATATGAGCATATGTCGATGTTTATTAACATAGTTGCAGTAATGCTAAGTTAGTAAACTTCCAAAATGGTTGTGTTTTTAACAGATAGCTTTCTAAGGAATAATATCGGAATGGCTTAAATAAAGGGAAAGTAATCTAATTCTGGATTGAATAGACTAAAAGTTCTGCGGTCTACCAGCCCAAGCGAAAAATAATTCTATTCCGGAAATTTAACGCCGTCTGTTGAAAATTAGAATGAAAATCACCGCAGTTATTTAGTTCTTTATTTTCGCAATACCGGCAGCTGTTGATTCCGATTGCGTAATATCACGTAATACGACGCACATATTGCACAATAACGTTTGCGATATTTTGCAGAGGTAATTAATTTTGATGTTCAGTCCGATATTTGTTTATGAACATTTAAAAGAGTTTTACTGCGTTTGCTAAGCAGAATATTTTTTAGTTCCGTTGGTTTATTTTGATATGATGCACATATCAAAACGTCAAAAGCATTTATTTAGTGGGAAAATCTAAAGAGCGGCTACAGTCTACCCCCTCCGCTTCTCTTTTTCAAGTTACGCTCGACTGTCCGAATATTCATCAGTTTCCAAGTATGCGGGTTAGTTAAGCTTTTACTGTTAAAGGATAACTGCATGTAGCAAATTTCTGTCTTCTGATTTCAGAAATGTCCCTCTTTTTATTAAATTATTTGCTTGCAAATTGTTAAGAGAAACTGATATGCGTCAAAAGTCGTTAATTCGGACACCCATAATCCGGAATGGATCTATAATCCGGACCTCAAGCTAAAAACTTTCTGCGCATGCGCCGCGTTGGCACATGCGCACAGGCGTTTCACGCGTGCGCGTAAGACCTTGACTACTGCGCATATGCGTTGCGCAAGTGCAGAATACGTTTTTCACCTGCGCGTTTAATGTATAACGGACGGTATAAGCTAAACTCAAATTATCTAATTAGTCTATTTCAGTTAATGTTGTATGATTGCGTTGCTTCCTTAATCTTCGAATTGGATACCGCTTATTATTTTTTGCAGACAGTGTAGAGCAATTTTATAAAAGTAAGCTTGAACTTTCGATTATGTCAAATAGAATTTCCGATTCTGGAGCTGCCAAAGGATCTACAAAACGAAAGTATGTTTCGATGTCCATCAAACAAAAAATGGAATTGCTGCAAAAAATGGATAAAGACATGAAGAATGTGACAGAGAGGTTAGTGAAAACGAAAAAATTTCGATTGACAAGTTAGTCGGTATTCTCGGCACAGCAATTAACGGGACTTGAAACAGGAACTTTGTAACTGAACAAGAAATTATGTCTGTTTATAGAATTAAAGAGAAAATTATCACATAAACGAAGCAACTTAAACACTTACATTGAAAGAAATGTTTAATAAAGTAAACAAATAAATATTAAGCTTTTTTTTTTTTTTTTTTTTTTTTTTTTTTTTTGTAAATTTTGATACCCTTTAGATCATAATTGTTCTTTATTTCATAAATTACGGTTTCATATTTTTAATTTTAAATTTCTAGAATTCTGCATGCCATCTTACGAGATTTAAACTGATGATCTATAATCCGGAAAAATCGATAATCCGGAATCGCCGAAGTCCCGACGAGTCCGGATTAACGACTTTTGACTGTACATGAAAATTTAGAAAATGTTCAGAATTTAGATTAAATTATTTAAATATCAAATGAGTGGAAAATAAACTGTATTTATTATTAGGTTCCAAGCGACTACAATAAATATGCCTTTTATTTTTATTTTCTCTATTTTGAACTGAAATTTCATCATTAAATCTTGTAATATAGTTTAGTTCTTCATAGTTTTTTTTTTCTCTCATTGTAAACTAGTTCTGTAAATTGAACTATATTTAAAATTAAAAACGAAAAAAAAGTAATATTTTTCCATGGTTGAGGTAATCCTATTCTCTCTTAATAAGTACTTCATTTCTCATATTTTAAATTACGAGTCTAATTTTTAAGGTTATGCAGTTGTGTATGATGTAATTAGACAGGTGCTTATTTTTTTTCTTAAAATGTGCTTGAAAAGTGCTTATAGGTGCTTATTTTTTAAACTAAAATGTGGCTATGAACCCTGTATCAAGCATAAAAGAAGATTTGCTGTTATAAATATAAAATGCAATAAACTGGAAATAAGTCTTTAAAATGAAATATGTTTCTTATTTTACAGCATTATTTACCTTGGGAATATGTTTATGCAATTAATTTTATGTGATTGTTTTTATAGTAGACAAGAAAATATGTAAAATCTTTCATTAAGTTTTCGAGTTCATGCAGTGCTAGTAATCGGTAGTTATATCTTGAAAACATAAGCATATTTTTAACAAAATAGGAGCAATATTATCTTCCTTTTATTTAATTCTTGAATTTTATATTTTAAGAGCAGTTTTTGTTTTACACACTGTCTACTTTTTTTGTTTTGTGTTTAATGGATTGCTATCATTTTCATGCATTAAATTGATATGTAACGTAGTAGTTTTTAACTTTTCTTATAATCTGTAACTAATTTTTATTTTAGGCAAATCTTACATTTCTGGAATCAAAATTTAGAGAAATGACATATGAAGAAATTTCTAGTCTTAAGGTACTGAGTATACTTCTAAAAATTCTAATAGTTTTTCTTAATTAGGAAGAGTAATACAAGACGGGAATATGAAAGGCTAGTCATTTTTGTACATTCTGAATTCTGGCCAAAGGAAAACATTTATTGCAGTGTATTTTGGTTTTAAAATGATGTAATGTTATTATATATATTTTATTAATTTGTATGTTTACCAGTATTGCTTAAGAAAATAATCATAAGCAAAATCCTGTTGAAAAGATCTGAATATGCTTTCTTCTTTTTCTTTTTATTTTTTCCGTGTTTACACGTGGAATACCATTGCAATGTTTAAAAGCTTACTTACGTGTGAAATTTTAATTAAAAAATGTATTAAAAAGATTAGCCGGATATGTTTCCAGGGAAACATGATTTCAATTCATCAGTAAGAAAAATTGTTCTTTATAGTGTACTGATTCACATTATTTTGAAGAATAAATGTAACATAATTTTAAAATTTTTAATTAAGAATAAGTTTCATTACTCACGAAATGCCACATTTTATATTGCTTTTGTGGCCATATTTTTTAAAAGCATTTAAAATTTTTAGTATTGTAATTAGCATCTGCATACTGCACATTACTACTATAATAGTAAAGACAAATCGGAATGATTTTTCTTTATGCAACCTGTCCATCCGAGAAGTTTGTTTACATCTAGATGAAACACCCTGTATACACACTGTAAAGCATAACTGTAAAAAAAGGGGGGGATATAGTTGATAGTAAGAAATTAATAAAAGACCATTTCTGAAAAAAAAAAAAAAAAAATCACTCATTTTAAATGTTTTTTGGTAGTTTATGGGAAGAGTTATGCTTTCTTAACCTTTATGGTTTAAAAGTGCTACTGTTACTGAATTGAAATTTTTTTTGGGTATTTATGCATTATCTTCTTGACCATGAATGTTGGCATTACTCCTGCCAGAGTTCTGGCCAGTCATTTCTGCAGAATTCTAAGCCGCATTTCTGTTTGCAGTTTTTAAAATAAAACATTTGACAGTCTCTCGGCCAAATGTACTAAATAGCCATGCTTGGTATTATTTGACTTGCTTTGGTTTTGCACTTGTTTAAAAAAAAGGCTTTCACATATTATTTTGCTAGGCCCTCCAGTTTTATTTGAAGTTCTGTTTAGAAGACTATGAATAAAAACTTCTTGCAGATAATTATTCCAAATTATTACAGTTTTTGTCCATATTCAATTGTACTTTTTCCCGTTCAAAAGGTGTAAATTCTCTCGACTAGCTGTAAATCAACCAGAGTGCAATCACAAATATAATTCTACAGCCTTTGAATCATGTTCCTTTTCAAATGGATATGCTCTTGTTACAATTTTTTACATTGCATCAGTATTGTTTTTTTGCGGCTGCATGTAATGAAAGTGCAGATAGTAGGAGTGTATTGTGATGTCAAACTTATCCATAATCGGTGGCGAATCATGCTGTCTAGTGACACTTTTGCAGTTGATGGGATAATATGCAAGTACTCTATTTTAACTCTCAATATCTTGCGAATAAATGCTGCTTATGAAATTGTGCTTTTTATCATACAACTCATATTTATATATACTCACTTTTTATCATGCTTAAAACTCATATTTCATGAAGTTAATGTATTTTCTTTTACAAACTGATATTTTTTATGCATGTGGTAGAATTATGAATTTTTTCCTTTTTTATAGGAAACTATAAACAATCTGTTCTATCATTGTATTCGTATATTAAAAGATGGCAATCAAATACGTGCAATGAATTCTATCCAGGTAAGTTATCTTTTGCTTTATGCAATGTGGTATAGTAATCTGGTTATTGTTATTTGACACTTTTTTGAATAATTCATATGTCGTTGTTTTAATAAAATTAGAAATTGTAACTTCATAAATTATTTGTCAGTTGCAGACTTTACACTGTGAATGACTAAATGTTCTGTTCATAGTTATATGAAATGTTTCTGGACTTTGTCAAACCTATGTTTGGTAATTTCATGAAAATATTTTTTGACTTTTAAAATATGCAGTAAAAGGGGGAAAAAATGCACCAATACCTTAAATCCACGCAGCCTGTCATATGTTGAATAACATTTGACGGTTTTGGTGAGTATTTTACAACAAGTTTCTCATTCAGCATTTCAACAAGCGACTGTTTTCTATTTATTATCATTTTTATAACTGTCATTGAACATATTCTGTTAACAGAGCAGCAGCCAAAATATCTACAAGTAGACCAGTGCTAGCAAACTTGTAGCTTGAACTATGCTAAAAAATGTGACTCTCGTGTTTTGATTCTTATGCAATATACAATAAAGAATCGAAATGGATTTTATGACTTATCATTTGTCAGGTGATAGAAAAGTCTTCCATTCAATTCTTACAGGAAAAAAAAATTATCCATAGTTAAAAAACTTTGTTCAGGTAACCACAAAATGAGTTATTAGTGCTAATGCAGCATCAAAATAGTGCTGCAGCCGAGAGAAAAAAGAACTATGACCTCAAAATTGGTTTGATGGAAATAGTCATTTCACAAAACTGTTTTTTCTCAAGTATTCATATACGATGCACAGGGATGCATCTCGACTTTTTCACAATGATTGCCATAAATGTTTTAGGCTGCATTTCACACCAACATTTATGTTTGATGTTGAGTGCTATCCCATTAATTGGGAGGTAGTGAAAATTTTAACTTTTATTTTGATTGCTTTAACAACAGATTCAAAACAATTGTTCCTATTAATGATTTTTGTGGCAACACATTGTATTCATACAGAAATTTTACTGCAGTTTCCTGCTGGTAAATTCCACAGGCACGTAATTTTAAAACTGCTTTTAATGCAAAAAATTTCACTGAAGTGCCACTGAATTAGTCAGTAATGCCACTGATTTATTCAACTAGTCAATAACGAGTTGGGCCTCTTCTGGTCTTTATAATGGCTGCCAAACGACAAAGCATAGATTCAATAATTTTCTGGAAACATTTTACGGGAATGTCATGCTAAACATCGGATAGAGCTGTCTATAATTTAGGAAGAGTCTCTAGTGTTGTGTGATGAGGTTTCAAACTTTTCTCCAAAATGTCCGAAAGTGGCTCAGTAGAATTTAAATCAGGTCTTTTAACCACTTGCGCTACGACTAAACTTCACGGTTGCGGTGCCATACGCTACAATATAACAAGCGGTAAAGTGTCTCATTTACGCCGCTCCGCATCTGCGAGTGCAATCCAGAGCTGTAGCTTGAGAAATAAGCAATCTCGTTAGGCGATGTGTGCACCATGTTATTTTCATTTTTGCGATAAATGCCTACCAATGTGGTGTTCACGTCGTTCGCGGTTTGAGACAAAAGCATCTCGACGTGTGTGGCACGTCTTTTTAGCACAAGTGGTTAAGTAGCCAATTTATGACAGAGAAGTTAGAACACTTGTCCAACCAGGCAGTAGCCAACTGGGACCTGTGAGAGGTGCAGTTATCTTGCTGGGATACTTCATTTTCATGTGAATGACAGGACAACATAAATGGATGGAGATGATCGCCCAGCAACTCTATGTACTGAATCATATTGAGGGAGGTTGGTATAAGTGCCAATGATTCCAAACACTGCCAAGAAAAAATGTCCCAGACCATGATTAAACCACCATGGCCTTGTACAATTCCAATCTGCCGTACAGGGTTCATGGCTTCATGAGTTTGACGCCATATTCTCAGCCAAGAGTTATGCACATGGTTACCAGATTTGGCACATTCTGAGAATTTGGTAGCTTCTAAGGTGTATGCGATAACACTTAGGTACAGAGACTGACTGCTTTTTCGTGCTTTTGATAATTTTTTTAAGCATCTGTTCTGCCGTTTTTAGTCCAGAACTGAGTTTTTATTTATGACATGAAATTAGAAAAACCAAAATCTGCACATTCTCAGGATCCAAGTTGTGCAGATATTTGTTCTCATACTGTTATAACCATTGAGGCTATTTTTGTTTAAGAAATTGGGTTGTTTAGAAGCTTCTCAAGTGCCTTTTGTTTAAAATTGATATGGTGTGTAATTTTTGATTTTCTTTTAATTGTCTAAAGACCACTGCCACAGATATGTGGAAATCCAAACAAGAAGCGATTACTATATATGAGTAGTGAAAGAAGTCCTACTGTTAAAGGGCAGGCATGTTTGTATGCTTCTGCTCATTTTCATGTCAGTAATATTTTGTATTCATCATCCACTACATTTAATGTCATGTATTCTTTCAATTTAAGATCCTGAACTATTTATATCATTTTGTTTACTTTTTTATTTTACATTTTCTTTTCTTTTTAATAAGAGTATATGTTTGTAAAGTATAAACAAAAGCTTTCCTGTCTCATTCAGAGTGCTGTGATGTAGACCTCCTGTCTGAAGTGGGTGCTATTTTTTCTAGTTCATATTATTTTTATGTATGTTGTTATTATTTTATGTTCTTTGTTATGTTTTCAAAATATTTTTAGGGCTGTGCAAGATATCAAAGTAAAATCAAAATGGAAGTTGGAGTTGTTTGTTGTTAATGTTTCTAGAAAGATGGCATTTCTTTTTTTTTATCACTGTGTGTGTGATATATATATATATATATATACACAAGCTTTAAAAATTAAGTGAAGATAACATGGTGAAGAAAATTTCAAAAGAGGGTAATATTATTAACAGCTCCGTTTGCAAAGCTTTCAGTATTAGAACTGGGCATGATTTCTAATAAATTTTAGATATAAGAGAAATAAAAACAAAATTTCATTTAAAATTATTACCTCATATTGCAGATGCTTTAACTAAAGAAGGCTTTTAAATGATGTAGAAATTGCTTTAACCTTTTTCACCTCAAGCATTTTACAAATATTTTTTAAATATGTTTTCCTATTGTATATATTGTGAGCATCATTTACATGTCTGCTACTAAGAGCGTATTTTAAATTTATTTCTACATGCAAATAAAAATTTTGGTTCGTATGTATTATTATTGCAACAGTAAGATTGCCAAGTTTTTCTGTTTTAAGCTCTGCCATACAATAGAAAAATTTGGTGTTAGTTCTGTCTTAGTAAAAGTGAGCAAATTTTGAGAAGATGCTGAACTCTAGCAGCCATGTGCTTAACCATTCTTCAGACAATCATACTTATATCAGTTGTTCAGTCAAACTTTGTCACCACTTTCATATGCATTCTTTTTGTTGTATTCCAGGCTCTAATAGTCTTTATAACTAATTGTGATATTTTTTGTTTCAAACTCAGTTTTAAAATATACACTTGTAAAATTTGCTAACAGTTGGCAAAAATGGTAAAATTTCTGCACAAATGTAACACAGTAGTTTGCTGCAATATCTTTAAAGGGAACAATGATAAAAGTAAATAGCCAGTATGCAGTACTGAGTTTGTACAACTCTCTGGGTTCTTTTTAAGCAAAAATTAGCCCCTATGTGCATGGCAAAAGGAACAATGCGAAAAAATTACAGAAGAATTTCACAAAAATGTGTTTTGTTTTTTGATAGTTTCTGATTATTTGCAACACTGCTCTGAAAAGTCACTAATGTTGACAAATAATTTTTTCCCCAAGATGAGGTAGGCAACAGCTATTTTCGGAAATGGTCAAATGCTAAGAATTACATAAAAAAGCAACCAATTAACAAAATTAAAAACAAAAGAAACATCCATAATGAAACACTTTTTTTGCATTATTCTCCCCATGTACATAGCAATCTGTTTTAGCTTTAAAAAAATTCAGAATTGCAGAAGAGCAGTATCAAGCACAACTTAACACTGTGCACACTGTCATTCTCTTTATATACACAGCGAGTAGTTTTCTCTTTAAAAAAAAAAAAAAAAAAAAACAGAGAACTGTTAAATTTGGTATTGCTGTAATTTTTTCGTGTACATAGCAATCAGTTTTTGCTTTAAAAAAAATCAAGAGAATTTCTGAAATTTGGTGATGGTACACAAATTTTGATAAAAAAATTGACTTATTTATGAAATGCAGTATCATGGAATGCGAATTTCTGCATTTTCTACTGTTAGCCAAAATCTCATATTTTTGAAAAAAATGCAACTATTTTTTTTTAGCTGCAAATTCCATAGTCCCATTATAATTTCCCAAGTAAAAAATATGCACTTACTGTAACTAGAACACTAATGGCCAATGTCAATGCAACTACAGAATAAGGCAGTAATGACTGTGTGGGCATATATGCATAGTTGCTTTGCCTCATAAATGCATTTTTATCAATTCCATGGGTTATCTGTTGTGGCGGCATTGTGCATTGCCTCATTACTTTTATGGAGGTGAGAATAATCAGAAAGTTCCATTTTGTCCTGTATTATATAGTCCTTATTTAATAAATAAAAATTGTATTTAAAATTACTGAAGTCTATTTTCTTTTGATATGTTGATCATGCGATAAACATTGATAGTCTGGGAATATTAAAAAAAAAATGTGAAAACTGCCAGCTTGTATCCAATAATTTATATTTTATCATAAAAAATCATTAGATTGCTCCAAGGTTGTTTCATTAATATGTAACACACTTTATGCTTTCATTTATAATGTGTTAGGTCTTTTTAGAAATCCAAATGATATGTTTGCCTCCTACTACAATGAAAGAAATCGATTGTTGTAGTGTTATAATGCACAACACTATGCATTGCATATTGCAGTGAATTGTTTTGGTAAAACATTACCTCATCTTCATTACCTAATTAATTGTAAATTATTTTCTTACATCTTTTCAATTAATTAAATCTGGAATAATAAATGTTGGTAAAAATTGCTATGGTACTAAACTGCTGTAAATTTTATGATGCTATGCATTTGCTCATATAAATTGGATAAAAATGTAATGCATTAAAATTAATTTGTTTTTAATAATAGGCAATGTTCTTATTTTTAGTGACATTTGGAATAATTAGTAATGTAGAAATTTTTTAAAAAAGTGTTCTGCATTTATGAAGCGGCAAAGATATTGCAGTATTGTTGAATGGACTAGTAAAGTATTTTTTAATCTGTCCTGTTGGAAAATAGGAAAACGAAGTGTTTTTTTTTAATGAGAATGGGTACTTTTTTTTATTTTTGCTACTGATATTATTGGTCATTAGTAATGAAGCACAAATTTCTTGTAATAATTTCTGCTCAAGTTAGCTTGTATATGTAACTTATTATTTGTGCATCAAGAGATAAAATCCATGTTAACATTTTGTAGACTATGTGTGCTTTGGTTCAAGGCATTTATGGAAAGACTCATACCGATTATGGTTTTGATGTCATAAATCTTTTAATTGGCTTTTCTTCTGCTGAACACCTAATGCAGGTAAGAGAAAAAAACTATATTAAATCTTTTTTTTTTTAATTATGGTTAAGTCTAACATATAAGGCATATTAGTAGATCCTTTTTTCTCCAAAAATTTATGTGGCTATTTCTCTCTTGTAATCAGTGAACTCAGTGCTGTGGTTAGTATTGATGTGGTTATATATCTTCATTTATGACTTTTTTATTGTAAACATCAGTTTCAAAGCTAATTTTTTTATTTAAGGTTAGTTTTGTTCTTTTATTACAATCGAGTTAGATTAGATTAATTATTTTAATAAGCACTTTAAGGTTATTTACATAAGGAAGGATGCCTTAAATCAGGTTTTCTATGTTTTTTTGTTTTTATTTTGTTTGCTAAAATAAAGTAAAATACATAAAAAGTACCTGACAAAGTGGAGGGATACCTTTGCAGAGGTCTTTCTAAGGGGAACTGGTTTATTATTTATGTTATGTATGAGAAAAGGACAAGGAAACACCCATGCAGCCAACACTGACTGAGATTCAAACTTGGCATAATTCTGATTTATATCATATATGAATTTTCCTGTGAATGACTTAACTGCAGGACTGCTGAACACTGGTAGTTTGACCTTTGTTCATATCCCACTGAACAGTCTGGCTGCATGAATGTGTTCATGTTTTTCCTGTGCATAATAATATGAGTACAAGCTAGTTTCCCATAAGAAGTCCTCTTTAAAAGTAGCCCTCTCCTTAGTCACATAGCCATATATATGGATCCTTCCCATTATAATGTGTCTTGCATAATCAGCATTAAATTAAATATGTTATTCATATCTCTTATAATAATATTTTGTTTGCAGTATAGTAGTATCAATAAAATGTTTCTGTTTTAGTTCTTTGAATATTGACATATTTAATCAGGAACGTGTTTCTTATGTTTAGAAATTTTTAATATCATTTTGTTCCCCTAATGGAGAAGATTCATATATATAAACCATCAACTAAAGGGATCAGTAATTAGCTAAGGTAATTAATTATTACCTAGTTGCATTAAAAAGCTACAGTGTTTGAGGGATAAGTGAGTAATACAGCAAACAACAGAGAATGTATTTTCACAGAACTTGCAGCAAGTACTTACATCTGTATTAAATTACAATTTTACATACTTCTGTATTAATATTGCATGTAAAATATCTCAGTGTGCACTATTAGAGAAATAATTAATTAAGTGTTATCTGTCTAATAAGAAAAGTTGTGAGTGTTGCGCCAAAACTATAAAATTAATGATAATATAAAATAGTGTTTTTATAGGTATTAATTGAACAGTTATCTGATTTCCTTTGTCATGATTACCCTCCAGCTCTGAAATCATTAGTTCTGAAATTTCTTCTTATATTAGTTACAGTAAGTATTCATAATTAAGTTTTTATAGAGGATTTTTTTTTTTTTTTTTTTTTTTTTTTTTGTAATTTATACTGTCACTACCTTGTGGTTATACTCTTTATTAAAAAATGTTATTGATTTCTTCTCATATGCATGTAGCTATTTAATTGACTTGTGCTACCTTGTGGTTATAATCTTTATTAAAAAATATTATTGATTTCTTCTCATACGCATGTATTGAGGAAATTCTATGAATATTTTTAATCTCATATTATTTTGCAGTTTTCTTTTGCAAAACAATATTAAGTGTATGTAACAGTGAGACCTATCTTAAAGTCTTCTGTACCTTTCTAGCTTTTTGAATTATGGTGAAAGAAAAGATTATGTATTGTGTGTCTGTCTGTATGAAGGTAAATGTTGGTAAAGAAATTGACTAACAGCAGTAAAAAGTACCGAACAGAAGTAAAAGTGATTAAATCGGAATGTTTGAAATTAAAACCTCCTTGCATAAAACATCAATTAGAATAGACAAAATATTTTTACACATGCAAAGTTGTTTATTCTTCCAGATGAAGGTAGATTCAGCAAAATAAAATTTTTATTTATTTATCATTTAGAAAATTCAGATATTCATTATTTGAAATTTGAAAAAATGAATGAAAAGACAAAAGGACAAATCTTTAAAGAAACTAGTCTTAAGAAATAGAAGCTGTACTGTTTCAAAATATATAAAGAACCAAAAAAAAAAAAAAAATGCCTGCATCTTCATCATTTGGTAGAATGTGCATTTATGAACAACTGTTTTCAAAAGTGAAGCACTCTTAAGAGAAAAATTAGAACCAGAATACTAGGTAAACACGTTGAGAATTTACTGAGAACTGCAACTCTGCAATCGAACGAGATATTGATACATAAGTTTCTCGAATTCAAAGCCAGATATCACATTACTTTTATGATTTCTTCTCATCTTTATAATTATAAATCAAATTTATTATGAAATACTATGTATAAAATTTCAAGCATGATGTGAACATAATTCGATATTGTTGTCATTTCATTGAAAAAAAATGAATAAAGTTAAAATTACTTAAATATGTTTTGTATTTCATCAGCCATTGTTAATGTTAAGACAGTGGTTACTTGCCATGTAAATTCAGTGAATTGCTGATTCAGTCAATCTTTTTATGCATATGCACTTTCTTTATGCATATGCGCACACTCAGCACATTTGAACTAATGAACCTGCACATTTCTCTCCTAGAGGTGAAATTCAAAAATTCTTTCAGTGGTCAAACCTGAGCAAACCCAAACAATTTGTGGAATTGTGTGTTTCACTTATTATAGAGGTCATGAGCTGCTACTGGTGTTAGAAATAATTCGTATGGCCCAAAATATGTTCTCCCAATGTGCCTCAGGGAAGCTAAAGATTGGACATCTCTGTAATAAAGCATTTAGTGTAATTGTAGATTTCAATATATATCCAGTATATTGTTTCTAGTGTTTATCTATGAAAACTGCTTAGTGTTATGAATTTTAAAGCCATTTCTGTAAGTTTCTTTAGATACAAAGTTACGGGCTTGTATAAAGTGTTATTTTGTACATGAGAAAAGATGAGGTACAAAATGAGATAGGAAAGTTGGAAGGATCAGTTCTTGGCTCACTTCAACTAGTCACTGCATGAAATTTTTGTTGGAGCCTTCCATTTTCATACTAGAATTTCAACTGATGGTGAAACGGGGGCGAAATTTGTCTTGCTGTGTATCATATGAACTGAAAATTCAGAATTTCTAGGCTTATTCAGGGACACTCCATGTCTGTCATCAAAGACTATTAAAGTATTCTCAACAGTAAAAACGCAAAGAGCAGCACATATGCATGTAAATCATACACAGGTTTGCAAAGTTTAAGATGGCTTTTTGAAAGTAACATCATGCAGAAATGTTCTATATCGATCCAGATCATACCATAAGATCTCCAAGATGTGAAAATGTGACCCATCCAAATAAGAAATGAAAAGGTTAAAAAGGTACTTTATTGAAAAAGTAGCTCTGAACACAAGTGGAGAGAATTCAGCAACATACATGTGATAGGCCCCTGGCAAGAAAATCTAGTCTTTAGAAGGGGATATGATCACCCCTGATTGCATTACAAGAATTATAGAAGAATTATAGTGTATGCTAAGAACAAGATGGTTAAGCTGTTGAAGCATCATGGCCCATTCCTCTCATAGTGCTTATTTCAGCTGCAGAATTGTTGCTAGTGTCTAGTTATGTGCTGCCAAACGTCTCCTGAGAAGGCCCCACGCATGTTCTATGGGATTTAGGTCCAGGAACTTTGCAGGCCATTCCACACATTGAATACCTTCACTCCCTAAGAGCTGTATGACAGCTATTGTATTATGAGATGTAGCATTATCATCCATGAAGAGAAAGTCTGGACCCACAGCACCTTTTTAGCAGATTCCCATGGGGCAAGAGAATCTGGTTCCAATAGTGGTCATCAGTAACTAAACCTTCTTGGAAAATATGAAGGTGAGTGAGGCAACCAAGCACGATACCACTCCAAACATGTATCCCAACACCTCCAAAATGGTCCCTTTTGATGATGATGAAAGGGTGATTGCATGTTCACTTCTCTGTCCAGATGCATGTATGCCTAGAATCACTAGTCAGACTAAATTGGCTCTCATCCATAAAGAGCACATCACCCCACTCCTTGTGTTCCCAGCATTACAGAAACCGACATCTCCCATGAGCAAGCATTAAAGAACACACTATACTGGTTGTGCATATAGATGGTGTTTGTTCAGCCTCCTGACCATGGCAAAATGTGATATTAGATATGTATTAGTCTGTTTCATATGTCTTGCAATTTCTCTTGCTGTCTGCTGCTTGTTTCTTCTTGTTTGTAAAGCAGTATATGAATTATCTATCACCATAGTTACACTTGGGTGATCTCTGTTGAATGCTCGAACAGCTATTCCTGCCATTTGAAATAGTCTCCAGGCACATGAAATGATGCTGTGAGTGATCCAGAGCTCCTCCGCTATGCTTGTCACATTTTGATGTCCTTCCAACTTTTCAGTGGTGCGAGCTTTGGTAAAGTCATCTGGATGACATCTCCTGGCTTACCTGTTGGCCGTGTCACATTGTAGTAGCAACTCAGTATCACTGAAATCGCTCTACACCATGAAATGGCTTTCATTGAATTGCAGAGATGATACCACCATGTGTGATATCCCTTGAAACACTCCTACTTTAATGTCATGTGCCATACTTTACAGGTCCCAAATCTATTTTTTAATTGGCCTTTCATTTCATTTTGTTGCTTTATTTCCCATTTATGCTAATTTTTCTGCCTTGTCCATAATTTTTGTACATCATTTTAGTGCAGATTGTCACTCGTTAGCAAGACTGTTCTTGCTCATACATCAGATCTTCATAATGGTATTATTCAACTCTGCAGCAAAAAAATTTAATATGAATTCCTGGCTGATATTAAGATGCCTTTTAATGCGATTATGAGATCTGAGTACAAATAGCTTCATTTTGAAAAATAAAATGGGGTATAATTTGTTTGATTGCTTTGATAAATAATAATTGTCAAATGTATTTTATAAAAATTTATCGTATTTTTAAAAATATTTCCTGTGGATAAAATGTATGTTATTTGCAGGCAAGTGAAAGAAGCAAAAATGGTGAAAAATTTTGGTGTTTAGGTCATGTTAGTTAAAAAATAAAATAATCATGTTAGTACTTATGTGCTATCACAACTTCCTTGGTAGATGTTGCCAAATTTTAAAATTTTAAAATATGCACTTATAGAATTTGCCAGCAAGGGAAGAAGCTGCAGTAAAATTTGTGCAGGAATACAGAATTGTGCTAATAAGATCTGTAAAGGGAACATTGAGGAAATGCATTTAGTAGACAGTTGTTGCACAGTCCAGGGTTTATGCGATACCAAATCTGTGTCATTCTCTGATGTTTTTTTTTAGGTGAAAACAGATCACTGCATTCTTGGGAAGAAGAGTAACACAAAAATGAACTGAAAGATATGCCAAAGAGGTTTTTTTTTTTTTTTTTTTTTTTTTTTTGTGTGTATCATGTTTGATAATAAAAATTTGCATTTTATATTGCTTTAAGTAAATTTTCTTTCAATATCATGATATTATCTGCAAACTTAACAATAAATATTCTTAGTTTAGGAACTTTTCTAAAAAAATTCACGAAAACCACAATTTTTCACCTGATAAGTAACTTTTACATGTAAGTACTATGCAGGCATTTTAGTTTATGCTGTTCCTGAATCTATATATATATATATATGCCATTTTAGCTAGCCATTATATCTATATATGCAGCCATTTTAGTTAATGCTGTTTCTGAAAGCATATTCAGCATCCAACTCAGTTTGTAAGAATTTAATTTTCATGTCAAAATTTAGGAGAGGTAAGCATAAAACATCTGGAAAATGCAGGGAGAGTGACATCATGCTGTATCATCATCATTGGCAAATTTCTCTTCAACTGAATACACCAAAGCATCAATCACTAAAGATAGATGCCCGCTTTGTTATCATTGTGTGCAATTTTCTATTCTTAGTTACCTTTTCTGTCACTGAATTTAATAGTTTTCTCTGTGCATTTTAATAATTTACCAATGAATTTCTTTCTACCTGTTTAAACTTTCTTGCTTTTAAGAAATGGATGATGGATTTGTAATATATTATCAAAGAGGAATCACACTAAATTTGCATTTATTATTGTGATTGTAAAAACATTTGTTAAAAATTAAAGTGGTGTTCTGGAAAAACTTTTATGATTATTAATTGTAATATACCAAAGTGAATTATCTTTCTGATAAAGGCAAAACTGTGTTTCTTTAAATTTTATCTATGAATTTAATTTATACTTGTAACATACTTCTAGGCAACTGAAAATGTTAGCCAGAACATGTTGCTGGAATATCTGATGATGAACAGTGCATTTGAAGCTATTATACAAGTAAATTTACATATATTGTCTAATTGTGCATTTTATAGCATGAACTTTGAAGTAATTTATGTTGATGTTGTAATCAAAAATTAATTTTCAAAAAAGTATCTATTTGTTGAATAGTAGGGATCATTCCTCATTTTACTGTCCTCATCAATTTGAATTTCTCAGAAGCTTCAGAAATTTTCCTGAAGAACTATTTTGTTAATGTTATTATAACTTCTACTCCATTCCTGCCAGAAGAGTAAAAAAAAAAAAAAAAAAAAGCTTATTCTTAACCCCACCTATTTTCTTTTGACCAAGCATGAAACTTCCATGTCAAGCACTTTGATAATGTTTAATTAAGCTCGAAAGAAACTGCTGTCAGCAATAAATTTTATTTGGCTTTTTTGTGGAAATTATTACACTGAACTTCTTTACTTTTTTCTATAAGTATTTAAATGTAGCATTTTACTTATTTGAAATCTTTTCTTACTCAAAAGTGAATAATAGGTTTATGCTAACATAACTACATTTTAATAGGTAGGATGTTTTCATTAGATAGCCCTCACATTTTTCCATAATATTTTTATTCTTTATTATCTAATAAACAGCTCAGTAACATACTACAGCATTAATTCCATGCATTGCTGGAGAGTTGCTAGTATATTTCCAATTACACATGTTGTACCTTTGATTTCAACTTTGCTCAGCAATATAAAATTAAAACTACTAATCCAGATATCTCAGGGAATTTCAAGTAAAATTTAAGTCTAGGAACTTAGCAGGGATTGGAACCACTTGGCTGATAGATTCATGTGTGCTAGCTATGTATCTATTGTTAGAATGCTTTGGAATGAATTTTTTCCCACCATTTCCATCAATTGATTTTCATTGTTAGGTTACCAGAAATCTGTCTGTGTGCATGAAGTGTGTGTTCTATTTTGCTTATGCATAATGTTATGCTCCACTCCGCATATGATAGGGAGGAAATCAAGTTCTCATATCAATGATTGCTGATGTTGTGAAGTGGATTTATGAATTTCTAAATTAATTTCCCATCTTGTGCATTTATATTTACATTTACTTAGTTAAAGCACATTTAATATACAAATGTCATTTTCATAAAAATTACATTTTATTTCAAGACTTCCATATTTTTCTGCCTGTTTAGCTTTAATTTTTTCCTCTAAAATGAAACATTTGATATCGGAAAATTGTGTGGTTATAATGGAATTATTGTTTTGAACTTCAAGGTACTCCACCAACATGTCAATAGCTTTCTGCACATGTTAATTTTCACATAGCATTCTTTCAGGTTCTCTTGAAATGTCTGTGTATTTTTAGGCAAACTTCTTAATTTCTGTTTTTCATTGACTCATTTGATTAGTAAAGTCCTATTGGAATTCAAAAGAAATTTAAAATTGAGGAATAAAAAGGCACTAACTGATACTTAATTAAAAATTATAAATAGAAATTAGTAAAAAAGCATTAGTTAACATAAATTGCAATGTTTGGCAATTGATTATTCCCAAAATATTGAAATTAAAACCAAATTGATGGAAACTGGAAAATGATGGAAAAACTAAGTCATCTCTTTTGGAAATTTTTTCTCTTTAATATGGTGTATGGTCACCTCAGAGAGATATGCATACCTCTTATCTTGATTTCATAGACTTTGCCAAAAGTCTTGTGGAATTGCATGCCTTCATCTTCTAAAAGTGCAATCTTCTGAAGCTAGCTTCTGAAGGGTTCGGGGAGGAATTTGGTGCACTGAAAATTAATCACCTTAAGGCACCCACACATGCTCAGTTGTAAGGTGGCCAATCCATTCAAGGGATATCTTCTGTTTGCAAGCATTCTGACACCACATGTGCTTGATGAGGCCGAGCATTGTTGTCCATTTGCAAAAATTCTGAGCCAACAGCAACCCTAAACAGTCTAACCTGGGGTTTCAATATCTCGTCCACATATCTCTGATTACAGAACCTCCTTTAAAGATATGCAGCTCGGAGTGGCCATTTCTCGTGGTTCCTCCCCAAACAATTAAATTGCAGTCGCAGAAACGGGTTATTTCACAGACCAGGGAAGGCAAGTTGTGTGCTCTTATCTCTCTCCAGATCAAAACGCATCTAGAATCATTGTTCAAACTATATCAGGACTCGTCAGTAAACAGTACTTGAGCCCAGTTGGTGCCAGTGTAAATGAGCCCCTCTGGAAGCTGGAGGGAGTGAGACACAAACCATTGGTTTTCTCGCATACAGTCCACCCTCGTTAAGCCTTCGTGCAGCAGTAGAATGGCAAATTCAAGTTCCTGTGGCAGCCTGAAGGTCTAAAACCAAATCTCTTGTAGTCGCTTCAGTTTCTTCAAGCCCCCAACAGAAAATGGTCTTCGGATGCAGTTGTTCCCTTTGGTCACCCTTGAACAGGCTAGCTATCAACTGATACAGTGGTTAAAAAATGGTTCCAAACTCTTGATATGACACTTTGAGGGATATTCAAAACTTAGATGACTTTGACCTCCATCTATTCTACAATTTTTTGCCACTTTTGATTCACTTAAATGATGCTTTTGAGCCATAACTACAGAATACTGATCACTCTTAGAAAACACATTCACTTAAACAGCACTACAGACTGAAATTCCAGCATGCATCCATTGCACAGCACATTGTCAATTATCAAATTTGTATACTTCTGATACTAATGTATGCATGGTAGTGCAATTTTATGTTCAGTTGTATTTAATTAACATAAATAATTACAGCATTGGGCATTGGTTGCAATATTAACTTAGTGACCATATTTTTTCTCATTATCCTTCTGTTCTGATGCCCAGTGTATATGTGTATGTATATTATTATTATTATTGTAAGGGCACAGCCCCAATCCTCCTAGCCAGCACAAGCTGCCCGTATGATCAAAAAATGGGACTGGCCAGAATATATAGATATATATATATTATATATATAAGGAGGGGGGGAAGTTCAAAATCTGAGTCCATCTATCTTTGTTCATATTTATAATCTTCATTATTGTCTCTGCAAAAATTTTCAAATTTGAATAGTTCCTTTTAAAATCTTCCTTAAAATTCTTTCTATATTTCTTTCTTGCACTCCGGGTAAGCATACATTAATCAACGAAGCGCCTGGCATCCCCAACCATATCACAAATTAATGTATGTATGTATATATATATATATATGTGTGTGTGTGTGTGTGATATGACTGCTCCATTATTGTAATAAGATGACTTGAAGAAAGAAAGTTGCAACGGATTATCATTAGAAAGTAACCATGTAATTAGAAAGATTACTTGGTGGTAACTTCCACACATGATTTTATTCCTTGATAATTACTTGATAATGCAAATCATCAATATGGGTACACTGTGCACCCCGCAATTTTACTGCTTATATTTCTTAAAGAATGGACAAAATTTAGAAAAGTATGCTCTATGTTGTTAGCAGCAAAGCAAAGCAGTGAAACAAAGCAAGAGAGAAGAAACAAGGGAGCTGTGACGCCATTAAACTTTTATACCAGATTCCATTTCAGATCAAATGACAGATAAATGTCCAGATGTTGGATTAAAGTTTCATCGATAAGTACACGTCAAAATTGCAGGGAGTTTAGTTAGAAAACTTATTCCGTGTTATTTATAGAATGAAAATGGAAGTGGCAATTATTAATTTATTTTGAAAGATATATATATATATATATATATATATATATCTGGTTTTAGGCATTACTTGTATAATATATGAAACCCCACTATATCAGGCAGTGTTATATAACATGGAGTTTTTAACTCTCTTTTTTGTTTTAAAGCAGGGTTTCTTAAACTTTTTTCAGTCGCAACCCCCTTTTATCACTGAGATTTTTTCGTCACCCCCCAGGACCCTATAATATTTACAAACATTTTGTGGGACCTCATAAGTACTGTGCAAATCCGAAACACGTGTGAGTGAAACTGTCAATTTTTTTCACTTGTACTGTAATATACTATTGCAGTTTTAGGTCATTAACTTTAATTTCTAATTTTAAAACATAGAACATAAGTAACACACAAAATGACAGTGTCATGTGCAAAGCAAGGAAAAGGAACATTTATACAAGTATTATAAAAAAAATGTGTTGAAACATTTGGCTTTTTTCTTTGTCTATATTGTCTTATCTTTATCTACTTTCAGATACATTGTGTAATATTTGGTAATTATAAAATTATTATAAGTTAAAGAAATATCAAAACTGTTAAAATTTTTGGTGACCCCCTGCTGCAGGTCCCGCATACCCACAGTTTAAGAAACCCTCTTTTAAAGTTTTAGAAATGAAAGATCTTAATTTATTTTAATTACATTTATTTAACAGTTCATGTGGATATTATATGGAAAACACTGAATTATATTCTGTAGTATTTTTCTGAAGCTTAATTTTTTTTATTTAATTATTTTCTTTGCCTCTAAAAGCATGCAAACAAGAACTAAGCAATATTATTTTATGGCTTATATCGATGACATTGTTTAAATTTTACTTACATTTGCAAAAACGTTTTCTTCTTTTGATCATTTTACTAGTTTTTTTTCCTGTTCATGGCAAGCATTTAAGAATGTTGTGCATATTTTTTATTTTATTATTTATTTTGCAGTTACTGAAAGATACAAAATCAAGACAACATCATGGATATGATGCAGTGTTGCTTTTGACAATACTAGTCAATTACCGAAAGCATGAGGTATTGGGATAAATAAATTTCACATTGTTTTGCTTTCCAGTAGTACTTATTAGGATTGCAGATTTAACCTAAAATTGTGTTATTTATTTTAAACTTCATCCTACCTGAAATTTTAAATCCACTGATTTCTTTTTAATAGTGCATTAATTAATTCATTTTATTAATAATTCATTTTAGCCCAATTATATTGTTGTTTCATTTATCCAAAACTTGTTTGTGATCAAGTTCTAAATAGAAAAATGTTATCAAGGTAATCTAATATTTTACAAATCTATAAATGATTTAGTTAAGTGATTGATTATAGAGAAGGAGAACAATGCATTTAAATATAAAGTAGTTTTGTGTTAAAGTTCTCCTTTTCTTTTACGTCATTGTTAAAGTATATATTATGCTTCCTTAACTTAAGGGAAAATTATATTGAATAAAATGCTGAAGGATTTTGATGAAATATTTAAGAATATGATTTAATGAATTTTATCATAGAATAAAAGCATTTTATACAAGAAATATTTTTCATTAAAAGAATGGCTCACTGAGTACAAAAATTAGGTATGTGGCGACATCATTTTCCATACTAAAACGCCTTCTGTGAAACTCTTCATGTGCAATTTTTCTTTCGCTGAAGTTGTAACAAAAAAGGGCTGTTCGAGAGATAGACATTCATTGGATTGTTGGTTTCAAAAAGGCTACGTATCATTTGTTTCAATCCTGTTTTCTCCTTAATAAAATCGCTTAAAGAATTTTGTTCTTTCTTTGTTCTTTCTGGTATACTAATAATACTTTGGATTTTATTCAACAAATGAGAAAATATGTCTATGAATGCCGAAACTGCATCAGAGAAATCATAAATTGCCAAAGTAAGTCTAAAAATTCCTCCTTTTTGGAAACCTGACATCAAAATATCATTTCTTCAGTTCAAAGTCCAATTCTGCAATGCTTGAATTATGGCTGATCAAACAAAATACGTTTATATAGTGAGTTCGATTGAAGCAGAGACATTGTAACAAATCCCTGATATTCTCAACAAACTACCAGACAGCAGCAACTATCCGGCCATTGAAAAAAGGCTTATTAAAATTTTTGCCAATTCTGAAACATAGAAAACTCATAGACATCTGACCAAATTAGAACTGGGTAATAAAAACCATCCCAACTTCTCTGTGAAATGCGCAACTTGGCGACTGAACAAGTATCGGTTGAATTTTTGAGAACATTGTGGATGGAATGACTTCCACTTAATATGCAGAGCATTTTATCTGTAAGCAGTGATGTTTTGTCCAAACTATCTACAGTGGCTGATAAAATATGGGAATTAAATCCCAATAAACCCCAGGTAATTTGTGTTTGTTTCTCCACTATCTGATAACATTAAAGCCCAAGATCTGCAGATAGCAGAAATGAATAGGCATAGAAATTCCAGTCCACAATGGTAAAAATACATATCAAATTCAAGATATTGTTTAAAAAAATAGCTGTGACCCAGATAATTTATTTTCATCAATGCTTTGGCAAGAGAGCTTACAAATGCATCCCACCATGCAAATACCAAGCTTCAAAACAGGAAACCTGAATCCAAGCTTTCAACGACAACTGAAGGTCAAGGGGATCTAGCTGAGTCATCTGTATATTCATGACAATGTATCAGCAACCCATTTTTTAATTTAGCACAGGAGCAGAAATATCGGTTATCCTACCATCACCAGTGGAAAAAAGAACTGTGGCTAAGCTTGAGCTATTTGCTGCTAACAGTACAACCATCAAAACATAGTAAAAAATTATGAGAACTGAATTTAGGACTATGCAGATCTTTCAACTGGCGTTTTATCATTGCGGATGTCTATAAACCTATCAATGGAATATACTATCTTTCACATTTCAATTTGTTAGTTGATAGTAAAAATTGAAAATTAATCGACGATGACCCCTTTGATGACTAAAGGTACTTCGTGTAACAATAGCTTCACTCCTAAATTCATTGCCAACACTTTTTAAAACCCATATAGGGCCATTGTAAGTAATTTTCCTAACTTACTTAAAACCAATATAAGAAATTATGAAATTAAAGAACATGATATGCAGTATTACGTTGAAATCAGAGGTAACCCCATATCCTTTAACAACCCCTTCTTGGTCAGCGTTGCATATCACACATTCGGCATAGTGAAAATTTCCATCGTTGAAACTGAATTCAGCACTACTCATATGTTGCTTTAAATGTCGCGATTATTTTTGTATTTCTGAATATTGCTAAGAGAGCATGTCTAGGTGTAGTTTTTTTCATAAATTTTCGCTCTGAGATTTCCCGCCTTGAATATCTGCATGATATCTGTTAGAATTTCGACTAAAAAAAAAACTAAAGACTTTTTTATATTTATAGCCTTTTTTTGATAAAGTAAGCAAACAAATTTATTTATTATTAAATAAATGATTTTGTGATAAATGTGGATTTTATGTTCTCATGTGCAAGGCAGTTTGTAAAGCTGTTTTAATGGTAAGGTTGGAAATCAGTTTTCTAAATCATTTTTTTATGTAATTTTAATAATTATTTTTATGTAGATATTTATATTAAACACATCAAAACAATAGAGTTAATAAATGTATTATCACATTTTTGTATTTTTTAAGTTTAAAACCTGGGTGCATTGCAAGGAAAACTGGTGATCAGGGGACGGGATATCAGATATTTGACCACCCATAGATCCATCAAAAACTACTTACTGTCAAAAATATTTTGCATTTTCGAATTTAGGATATAATATTAATTTTCAGCAATAAAAAAAATGCTTTTTGGGGGTCAGAACCTCGAAAAAAAATCTGACCAAGAAGGGGGTAAAGTCAGAAGACTTTCTGAAGAAAAGTGGATTGCTGCATGAAAGGAATTAGATTATATGCTGCAAGAAGGTCTCTGCAGACTGTCCAAAAGCAGCTGCTCAAGTCCATTACACCTCACTTTAAAAAAAATTTGGAGACCCTGCTCTGATTACCGTGGCCTTAGTGAAGAAAGTGTACTAGATGGTAACCCAGTACCATTTCTAAATATGGTCCAAGATAGTGTGGTTGATGAGAAGAGGAAATTATGTTATTGTAGATGAATACTTGTGAACAATTTGCTAATTCCTTTTGTACAAAAACTGTTTTTTTTTTTTTTTCTTCCATGGCTGGTTGTTTTGATGTCACTGCAATTTTTGTATAAAATCTGAATACATGACTGTTAGGGATTTACTGAAAAATTCTTCAGACAAGCAGGTTGGTGTGCTGTACGCAATGACCGCGTCTCAAGCACCTTAACATGAATATTGTCAGCCCTTTACCATCTTGCAAAGATTTTAGGTATCTGCATACCATCATCCATAATTTCACTTGGTGGATCGTAGCTGTATCTTTGCATGACCAAACTGCAGATTCTATCGCAAATGCCCTCATCGCGACATGGATTTCAAGATTTGGAATCCCGGAGAAAATAACATCTGATCAAGGTTGAACTTGTGTACCACACCAATCTGATTACGTGGAGAATTTTTCAGTTAATCCCCAAGTGTCATGGATTCAGATTTTAAAGAAAAATTGCAAAGTCACATCCAAAACCTAAAACCCACACCGACAACTAACCATGGAAAAAGTTTTTATACTCAAGGACTTAGCAAATTGTTCACATACATTCATCTTTAATAACTTAATTTCATCTTTTCTTCAGTCACCCTATCTTGGACGATATTTAGTTAAGTAATGTTTTGAGTAATTTTTTGATGTGGAAGTTTCAGGTAATATAAAATTAAAAGAATATCGATAGCTAGACTGAAACCATGTTTCATACTAAAAGATGAAACTACAACAAATCTTCAGGCATGTGAAACTCCAAAATCTCACCACCACTTCCTAGGGAACAATGATCCTTCCAAAGACATTCATCCCAGAAACACAAAAGCTGGGTGAAGAGTGTGATTTCCTGCATACCTGAAAGACTTGAGCTGTAAACTATCACTGTGAAGGGGGTTTGTGGCAACATCATTTGCCATACTGGAAGTGCCTTCTGTGAAACTCTTTGCATGTGACTTTTCTTTCACCGATGTGGCAACAACAACAACAAAAAACTGTTTCGAAAGATAAACATTCATTGGATTTTCGTTTCCAAAAGGCTACTTATTATTTTCAATCCTGTTCTCTCGTTAATAAAATCGCTTAAAGAAGTTTGTTCTGTATAGTATACTAATAATACTTTAGATTTTATCCAGTGAACTTCAAGGTGCTGTGAGGTAAACAATACATAGTATTCAGGTTAATCATTTAGTGGCAACAGGAACCGATATTGCATAAATTTGTAGATATATTATTCTGTTGGGCCAATTTCTTGATAGTGGTATGTCTCCCTAGAATGCCCAACATTTATTTAGCAATGAAAATGTGCTGGTCAGCTTCTGTGCACAGTAGTCTTATTTTGCAAGTATATTTTACACTTGTTGAACTTGACATTGATAAGAGGTTTCAACTTGTAATGCGAATATTTCTACTAATGATCTATATAAAAGCGTTCATGCAAGTTATATGTTTTCTATTTCCATAATGTTGTGTCTAAATGTACAAGCACTGAAGTTCGTATTTGTTGTCACATTAAGGTTTATGCATTCACCTAGTGGAATGCCATTCCAAACATTCATGTAACCTTTATCTTAACTTTTATTTTGAGATTAGTTTCTGGGGTGTTAGCACATACTAGATTCTCTATACTGGATAGCACTCATATACACTGCCCTCCAAAAGTTAAGGAACAGCAAGTTTTTAAAAGCTCACCATTACAAAAATGTCTGTAATGTTTAAATTCACAGTTCATATGTATGACAGTAATGAAGTCTAAGAAAATATATGCAAAAACAATAGCTGACACTTTTTATTTTATAGAAATGAATATACTTATATAGGAATTGGAGAAAAAAATGCAAAAATTGTAATGTTTATTCACAAGTGTTGATCTTCAATTGTTATTAGAGTTTCATGGACAATATCCAGGAGAATGTATCAATTGTCCAGGAGAAGTCGTTTGCCCAGTTCTTTGAGATGGTGGATGATCGGATGAATGGAAATGAGGATGTCACGAGCTGATGCTGCTAGACATCTAAGTGTCTCTTGTAGTGTGAATCACTGACTATGGAATCAGTTTGAATCCCAGGATTCTGTGTCTAGAAGACATGTTCATGGCAAACGTAGAGTTACAACACCTGCAGGAGACCGTTATTTAGCTCTTTCAGCCCAAAAAAGGAGCAACATTACTGTGCCTCAGCTCATGGCAGGTCATTTAGTGGAAACAGGAATCTCAGTTACTACAATGTACAGACGCCTGCACAACACATGTCTGTATGCAGGATGACTAGTAGTTTGCATCCCCTTGACCCAAGGATACAGAGGTGCCCATTTATTTTGGGCAAGAGGCATCTCCTTGACCAGTCAAGAATGGCTATCTGTTCTCTTCACAGATGAGTCCATGTTCACATTGGAGAGAGATTCAGGTTGTTAGCTGATCTGGAGAGAACAAGGCACCAGATACAACCAATCCCACATTGTGGAAAGACAGTTACAGAGGTGGTAGATTAATGGTTTAGGCTGGGATCTTTCTCGGTGGTTACACTGACCTGCTTGTGTTTCATGGAGGAACTTTGACAGGTGTGAGATATCGAGACAAGATCCTTGGTCAATATGTCCTCCCATATGCCACTGCTATTGGTCCTGGGTTTCTTCTGATGGACGACAAAGTGCAAATACACCGAGCTCGGGTTGATGAAGAGTATTTTGAGGGTCACAGTATTTAGTGGATGGAATGGCCAGCTCAGTCCTCATAGAGCATCTTTGGGACTACCTTGGGAGACAGGTTGCTGCTTTAAGTCCTCCTTCAAGGTCGTTAGATGAGCTTGAACAAGGACTGCTTCCGTGTCTGGTAGTTGCTTCCCATTTCACTGACCGATAACTGAATTGACAGTATTGAATGTCGCTGCCTCCAATGTATTGAAGCTAGGGGTAGACATATTCTTTAATTAGAAGACATTTTTGTTATGTTACCATCCTACTTTTCCTAAAAATAAACTGTGATAAACTGTTTCGTCAAGACTAGATTTCTCTGGCAAGTGCCATTTTTTGTTGTAATTCATGTTTCTGTTGAACTTTAGAAACATTCTATGTCGCGTTCATTAAAGAACTGTTTAGTGGGCCATGTCCTGTAAATTTCTTGTTTCTATGTTCCTTCATTTTCAAATTAGATACAATAAAGATGCTGTTCTTTAACTTTTGGAGGGCAGTGTATCCAATATCTGGACTGATATGGAAAGAGTACAGATAATTGATATGTCTGTGCTTACATAACAGATTTGATACTGATTTATTTTTTGGTGTATTAAAGCAATCTTTTTCAACTTTTCCTTTATTTATGGAATCTGCTGTAGTAACTACAGGTAATTCCATCTTCCTGTTAAAATAACAATTTAAAACTCTTAAAATGGTGGAATATGTTTTAAAAGAAATCCCAGTATTATTCTGTTAGCCTTAGAATTTTTGTAAGAATCTGTACAAAGACTGTGAAAAGACGTGCCCCATATACCTCTACCCCACTAAAACCTTTCATGCTGTTAAATGAAACTGATGTTAGTTTGTACTTCATTGTACAATCGGTTATTCAAGTTAGAATAATTGGAGGAAATAAGTTTAAATGAAATGCACCAAAAATGTGTGTAATTTAATAGGTCATAAAAGTTATGTGGTGTCCACATCAGATTTTTTTAATTAAAATTCGTGATTTTCAATCAGAGTGCAGTCATTTTTAGTTTGTTTTCATTTCCTGATTGTAAACATTGCTAATGTGTTATTGAAGTTCATGGTTAAGTAATCTATCTGCTAAACAAAAACTAACCTTTTAATGGTTTCAAGTAACCACTTCTTTTTAAAACATGAATGAAAATAGTCAATAAATTATGTATAAAAACTCATTAGAAGAGTAAAAAATTTGATATTCATATCGGGTTATGGAAGCATTTTATTTATTCAGCAGTATAGTTATTTGTATAGTTATTTTCAGAGTCTAGAGAAATTTTTTAAGTTTCTGGGTTAGTATTTCAGTGTATCTCTTAACTTATGCTATTTGTTTTCTTGTATATGATCATTTATTTTTTAAATCAGATTTAAAATGTTCCTTTTCTTTTTCAACAAAACACTATATTAGTTTTTTTATAAATTATTTTGCCAGTCATAGAAGATGGTGTTCTTTTTTGGCAGCAGTGAATTAGTATTCTGTTAAAAATAATTCAGTTCATCACTTTAATTTATGAAGAAATTTTTGTTTTTTTATGTATATAATTTTTTCTTAAATTTTCAGGCTGCAAATCCATATATTGTAAAGCTTTCCATTATTGATAATGAAATGGCCCTTAATGTAAGTATTTTCAATCATTATTTAACAGAACTTAAAGATATGAAATTTCATTTATTTATTTATTTATTTTTTACTTTCTATTATTCTGTTGACTAATTATATTAGTATATTTCTTTAAAAACTTGTTCCTTGGTTCTGTGTTGTGTATGTAGTAATAGTATAAAATAATAAAAATTTCCACTTTGAACTGATTCATATCTATAGAGTAAAATATTGTGTGAAACAAAGTTCTGATAATCATTTCTTGAGTAATTTTGTTTTAGTTTCCAAGGCAAACACAGCTCAGAATGAAAAGTCGAATTTATAACTACCTTAATATCAGCCTTGGCTAATTAATACTTACTTAATGCCAGCTGAGTTGCTGTACTGCCTGTTATATGACTATCAGCATTTGCTCTCAATGGGTGAGCATTTTATTATCGCTAGGCCTAGCCAAAAATTTCTGTAGAATATTAAAATTTGTTGGGGAATTTATAAAGTTACATTGGAAGATAGGTATTTGTGACCTGTGGTTATTAAAGAGACCCTGCCAAGACTCTGACTGTGCTGAATGAGGATGTTAGCAATGTTTTTATACATTGTGATTGCAAGTTTATAGAGAATGTTTACTTTACAAGTCAGTGGTAACTTGGATATAAGAAGTTATTCTTATGCATTATACTGAACAGTATTAACTGGGTATACTCATGTACATCATATGTGCTGTTCACATAGTTGCAGAGTTCCTATGTAATATTTGCTTGACACATTCATTGTAGTCATTTGTGTTATTCACTTATTTACGGTTCACTTACATTCATGGCTAATTAATGCTGATAATTTGCCTCACTTTAGTTCCATGTGGCTAAATAATTTGACTATGTGAAGGATTCATAGTTTTTCTTGTGTGTGAATGACTTGGGTTGCAAATGTCACAAATTTAATATTATTGCAATGAACTGAATTTAATAATTAACAATTTTACTTCTTTTTTTTACTTAAAAGTAATTTTTTAGTTAAGGTTAGCAATATGTTTCTGTATTTAATATTTCTCACAGAAGGAAAGTTGGGAGAGCCAGAGAACAGGATGTTTCTCTGAACATCCGTTTTGAGGTAGAAAGGATAAATTACCTAGTCAGTGTGCCCCAATGGAAGTTGTTCTTTCTTCTTGCTGCTTCTTTAAGTGGTCAGATTTGATATATAAATTCCACTTTTTTCAAATTGAAAGGCATCAAGTTTTTCCTTTTCTAGCACAATTAAAAACAGGATTGATATTCCCTCTTTGCAAAGGATTTCTCCTTTTCAAAAGATAACAAGAGCTTTCAAATTTCTTCACAGGTGTTAGTGAGTCATCGCAGATGGAGTCATTGTTGACAGCAACTTTTTTTCAATTGGTTGAAGAGGAAATTTTCTAACTAGAATTGTAGAGGAATTTTTAATAGTTTAATAGGCAGCCTATAATATTTGGGGTGAGGGTGGAGAAGGTGAGTTTTCCTTATGGGTTGCTTAGTGGTGCATTTTCAGATTTGATTTGGTTTTTGAATAGTTAAGAAATGGAAAAAAAAAGAGGATGGAAGCTTTCTTACTATTGGATTTTTTGTGCAAGCTGGTTAGGTCCCACATTTGCCTCGACTAAGAGCTTGATTTTGTGGAGATTACTTCTTCTCCATATCTCTTCCAATGCATTTGCCAATGAGTCATTTCCCTGGCAAGATAGTCTCAGCTTTATCAGCCTTTGGAAAAATAACAATAATAAGGTCTAATGCTTCATCTTCCATTGCCTGAGAAGTATTCAGATGCTATCTGCAGTTGTCCCCATAGCCCGATGAAGCCCTATTTGTGGGCCCAGGCAGGATATCATTAAGCAGGACCTCCATAAGAGCTGAAGAGTAACAAGGCAACAGTTACTTACATGCTTACAGCATGCTGACTCATACTCGATGCTTCAGGTGGACCAGTTTAACATCCATGGTTGGTTTCCAGCAGCAGTGCATGGCTTATGTCATATTTGGACATTCCCTGGACTGTCAACTGGAATGGAGTTTTTGTATTGAATACTAAGCAGCTGGATTAATTCCTGTATTTTTTTTAAATAGACAAAACTTTCAAATCTAGAATGCATGGTTTAGTTATAGGATTATGCCAAGCTATGCACTGTAGGTGCAAATGAATCATTTTTAGGAAATTTTAAAATGGTGTCTCTCTACATTCAATTATGTTCACTGAGTTAGATTATTTGTCTAAAATTGTATTAATTGCATATTAATGTCTTCATATGTGCTTTTAACTGTCTATCATGATTTCTCAATTTGTTTATCATCTCTTAAGATGAAGATTATTTTTCAGATTAATCCCATATTATTTTTCAAATGAATTTTAATTACTTGAAAGAAAATTCAAATGTTAATTTAAATTTTAAAAGGAAACGAGCATGTAATTTTAAGTATCTTGTAAGCAAAACTAGTAATTTAAATTTTTACTGCTATAATGTGATTAGCAATCTACAGTGTATTAAAAGTTATATGTCGCTGTATAGAAATGACTGTAATTTAATTTATGAGAAAGATTCTCTAAGGTCCTGACCAGTTATCCCTGCTGTAATGATATGTTAACCGAGATAAAATTAATAAATTTGTTTAAAATGTAAATTAGTGTTTGTTTATTGGACTGGTAGTCTCATCTTTCTATGTTTGACATGAAAGATTCTAGAAACAAGGAACTTCATATGAACTGAACGTTGTGTTATCGAATTAAATTCGATAATATAACATCCTAATGTGGTGAGTTTATTAAGGAATTTTACCTATTTGATACTGACCTTGAGATAGTTATTGAAGTAATTATTATTTTGTGTAAACTATAGAATGGTTTTTATGTGATGACACCAGTAGGTTCAGTTAATTAACAGGAAGTTTGAATTATTGTATTCAAAGATAGTTAATTTTTTGACTTAACAAATGTTGATGTGATCCACCTCTCTTGTAACACATTCCATAAAGACATTTCCCTTATATAGAAGCTCCTCAAGTACTCTGTTGTAAATAACAAATGATCCTAATGCATATGAAATCATATTCTGCACATTTATAGTCACTAAAACTATAGGAATTAGAATGCAAAGTTAATATCTCAACATTCACTCATTGCAGTTTCAAACATCATGCTTCACACTGACATTATAAATTAATGCATTTTATATTTCATAATTTGTATTAATGTCAAAGGAAATAAACACTGGAATTTAACTTTCTGTGTTTATTTTTTACACATATAAAACATAAAAATGGTTCTTAGGCTTGGAAAGTTGCAAAATGCTGGACTAAGTGATAGGGAATAAAACAGGAAATGGAAAGGTAAGTGTGGAAACATCATTTGCAGTACTGAAGCACCATCTGTGGAACTCCAATTTTCTTTTTGCTGAAGTGGCAGCAGTAAAAGAATTTTGAATAAAAATAAAACATAGTTTTTCAAAAAACTTATCATTTGTTTTACTCCTGCTCTTTCATTATTAAAAATTGTTTTAGAGTTTTTTCTTTATACAAGTAGTATACTGTTAAAACATTTGTCCTTGATCAACAAATTCCCAGTTGGTGACTGCATTCATGATTGATTCATTGCAATTAAATGTCTACTAATAAAAATGTTGAAATAGCATTTGAGAGATAAACAGTTGCCAGGGTAAGTTTACAAATTCCTTCTTTTTGGAAAAACACACCAAAATATGGTTTCTTCAGATCAAATCACCATTGTGCAACATGAAATAATGCCTGATTAAACAAAATATGATTATGTAGTCAGTTCAAACAAAGCAGGGATATTGTCACAAGTCACTGATATCTTCATCAAACCACCAGATGATGGGAAATATCTGACTATTAAAAAGAGGCTTGTTGGAATTTTTGCCTATTTGGAATTGCAGAAAACTCAGAAATTTCTAAATGAATTGGAACTGGGTGACAGAAATCCATCCCAACTTCTCTAGGAAATATGCAACTTGGCAACAGAGCAAGTGCTGGATGAATTTTTGAAAACCTTATGGATTCAATGACTACTACTTAATATGCGGAGCATTTTCTGTAAGCAGTGATGATTTGCACAAACTGTCGACAATGGTTGACAATATATGGGAATTAAATTCCAATCCACGTAAGGTCGCTTGCATTGTTTCTCCACCATCTGATAACACTATCGCCAGGGCTTAATTTCTAAATCAGAAATGCTGGAACCTTAATGGAATGCAATCAGGAAGAAATGAAAAATAACTAATAAAATAACAATGTTAAAAATAATTATACAGTAGAAGTCCAGAAATCCGCAAAGCTTGGGACCAGAGGTGTGGATTTTAGGATTTTGTGGATTTCGGGACAGAAAAGATAAAGCATAATATTCAGATTAAAAGTGCAAAATAAATAAGGCATATTAGATACATTTAATTAAATTATTATATACATTATTGCAATAATTTATTATATGCATTAAATTATTATTACATATATAAATTGATTATATTATTCATTGTATTATATGTACACAGCATCGAGGTTTGTCGATTTCGCCTCATGCAAAGATTTTTTGGTGTTAGTGTCACTGTGGCTGTAAAATTTCGACAGCTTTTTTTATTTTTCCATATATCATACAGAATCGTGTCGCAATTCCATACTATTTTGCTATAAATCGAGGAGTAGCACCTGCCTCTATCTTTTGCAGAATTTCCAGCACTTTTTACGTTACCGTCAAAGCAACATGTTTACGTTTTTCAACATTGCAAGCAGTAAAATCATGAGTGAGTTTCTTATCTGTCATTGTATTAAAAAAGGCCGAAATTAAAAATATTCTTAATTTATCCACAAAATATCAGGATAAAAAAAAGGCAACACTAAACAATCTCATGAAATAACAAAGCTCAGAAAATACATCAAAGGTGGAATCGTGAACTTGAACGAAGAGTTGAGTGAATCGGCTGCTTTTTTAACTCGATGCAGATATTAGAGGGAAAAAACTTTTATTTTTTAAAACTTTTT